CTTCTTCTTCTTCTTCTTCTTCTTCTTCTTCTTCTTCTTCTTCTTCTCCTTCTCCTTCTTCTCCTCCTCCTCCTCCTCCTCCTCCTCCTTCTCCTTCTTCTTCTTCTTCTGAAAATTTATGGGAAAATTTATGGAAAAATTTTGTTTGGTGCTCATCATTTTTAATACTCATCGCGCCTCCCGGAACCAATTAACATTGAGTACCAAGATACCACTGTAGTCTTTCTCAACCTCGGTGACTTTTAAGATATGTGAAGTTCAACTTCCAGAATTCCCCAGCCAGCTGGCTGCAGAATTATGGGAGTTCAAGTCCAAATATGTTCTGGACGTTGAAGTCCATATATCCTAATTCCACATACAGATAGGCCTTGCCTTACAACCACTTGTTTGGAGATTGTTGAAAGTTACAATGGCAATGAAAAAATGGACTTGCATTCTGCCCTCATACTTACAATCATAGCATCCCCAAGATTACATGATCAACCTTCAGACACTTGGCCACCAGCCTGTATTTACAGTGGTTGCAAGGATTTAGGGTCATATGATCCCCATTTGTGACTTTCCCAGTTGGCTTCCAACAAGTAAATCAATGGAGGATCTGCTTAAATCAACTCTTTCATTTAACGTCTGTGGCAAAAAAACCTTACAAAATCATGGCTCACTTACAAACCACCTCCTTTAACAACAGAAATTCTGGTAGTATCTCTGCTTTGAAAAACATTGAATTAGAATCTTGGTTTGGCTTGACCCATGCAATCATTAGAATAGGATAGAATGGAATGGAATGGAACGGAACGGAACAGAACAGAACAGAACAGAACAGAACAGAACAGAACAGAACAGAACAGAATAGAATAGAATAGAATAGAATAGAATAGAATAGAATAGGAGTTCTTTATTGGCCAAATGTCATTGGACACACAAGGAATTTGTCTTGGTGCATATGCTCTCAGTGTACATAAAAGAAAAGATACATTCATCAAGAGTCAAGAATCTTAAGGTACAACACTTAATAATAGTCATAGGGTACAATAAGCAATGAAATTATACTAGGAAACAGTCAATAAACATCGTAAGGATACAAGTGACAAAGTTACAATCATACAGTCACAAGTGGAAGGAGCTGGGTGATAAGGAGTGATGAGAAGATTAATAGTAATAGTAGTGCAGACTTTTAAATAGTTGGACAGTGTTGAGGGAATTATTTGTTTAGCAGAGTGATGGTGTTTGGGGAAAAAACTGTCCATGTGTCTAGTTGTTCTGGTGTGCAGTGCTCTATAGTGTCATTTTGAGGGTAGGAGTTGAAACACTTTATGTCCGGGATGTGAGGGCTCTGTAAATATTTTCACAACCCTTTTTTTGGCTTGTGCAGGATACAGGTCCTCAATTGAAGGCAGTTTGGTAGCAATTGTTTTTTTCTGCAGTTCTAATAATCCTCTGAAGTCTGTGTCTGTCCTGTTGGGTTGCAGAACCAAACCAGACAGCTATAGAGGTGCAGATGATAGATTCAATAATTCCTCTGTAGAAGTGTATCAGCAGCTCCTTGGGCAGTTTGAGCTTTCTGAGTTGGCGCAGAAAGAACATTCTTTGTTGTGCTTTTTTGATTCCGTTTTTGATGTTAGGTGTCCATTTTAGGTCTTGTGATGTAATAGAACCTAGAAATTTGAAGGTCTCTATTGTTGATACTGTGTTGTCCAGTGTTGTTGATACTGTGTTGTGGTAATATGGAAGGGTTTCTCCTAAAGTCTACCACCATTTCTACAGTTTTGAGTGTGTTCAGTTCCAGATTGTTCCAGTTACACTACAAGGCAAGTTGTACAACCTTCCGATGCAGATTCGTCGTTGTCTTGAATGAGACCAATCACTGTTGTATCATCAGCAAACTTCAGTATTTTAACAGATGGATCATTTGAGATGCAGTTGTTGGTATATAGGGAGAAGAGATGTGGAGAAAGCACACAGCCTTGGGGCCCCACCTGTGCTGATTGTACAGGTATCAGATGTGATTCTGCCTAGTTTCACCTGCTGCTTCATATCATATACAACATGATGGGGAACTATGGCCCATTTAGGACTTGTGGACTTCAGGAATTATGGGAGTAGAAGTCCATAAAAAGGCCACAATTCCCCACTCCTGATATAAAAGATACCTGTACCTTTCATTCTTTCTAATAAAAAGAATGCTTCATTTGTAGTTGACTTCATAAACCTATCCCTGCAAAAAAAAAATTTAGCAGCCATATGCAAATGTTTTTGCACAGCTTTCCCTCAGAGTATGTTTTTCTTTTTCCTCTCTTTCACTTCCCAGTTTATCCCACAGCCCTGAGATTATCTAGAACTCTCTCATTTAAGCATTAGCCAAGCTTGACCTGCACTTTTCAAGAGGTATCTAATTAGTCTCTGACAGAAAAAAAAGAAAGAGAGATTCTGGGTAGCATTATTTTGATCATGTTTCTTTATAAATTAACCTGAATTTGCACTTCCAGGAGTTAACATGAAAATGAGAGCTTGGCTTACGTTTAATTTTGGCAATATATTCCGAGCTAAACATGCTTATTTTTAGGATCAGGTTTGTGTGTGTGTGTGTGTGTGTTTGTGCCTATGCGCGTGTGGGGGTGGGTGGTGTATTACTTGTTACACTCCTATCTGAGATATGTATATTCTGGAATAGTGTGCCACTCTAAATGCATATTTTAAGGAAGAATATGTGCAAACGTCTGCAGCTTTCAGGTGAAATTCCTACAAGGTTAAGCGTTTCAGATAAAGATGTATGAAAATGCAAAAAGAAGAGGAAAAATAAAAATGTTCAGGCATCAAATTTTAACATCGACATGAAGCCACGGGGCGAGATCCTCCATTGCCATAGGGCGCAATATCATCAGTACATCGATGGTGCCCAATTATATCTTTCTACCCGCGGCAAATTAAGCAAAAGCGGGGGGCAGTCCCCACTTGGCCCAGTGCCTGGAAGTTGTGGAGGCCTGGGTGGGAGGCAATTGAATCTTGGCAAGGCTGAGTGGCTTTCATTTTTGGGGTCTTCCGCTTCAGGGACCATGACAAACAGACCCATTATAGCAGTGGTGGGATTCAAAAATGTTTATTACCAGTTCTGTGGCCGTGGCTCGGTGGGCTTGGTGTGGCATGATGGGCGTGGCAGGGGAAGAGTACTGCAAAATCCCCATTCCCTCCCCACCCCACTAGCCTGCTTTCCAGTTCCGTTCTCCTGTGCAGGGCAACCAAAGAAGATCCAGCCAATCAGCCGGGACTAGGGAGGCAGAGTATAGATGGGGGCGGGGCCAGTCAGAGGTGGTATTTTCCAGTTTTCCAAACTACTCAAAATGTCCACTACTGGTTCTCCAAGAACTAGTCAGAACCTGCTGAATACCACCTCTGCTTTATACAGTCTGGGGGTCCTTTTTGACTTGTGATTCCTGCTCAAAGAGCAGGTGACAGTTGTGGCTAGCTAGAACTCACCGCAGCCAACCTGCCACAGCCAACTTGCCATAGTCAACTTGGCGTGGCCAATTGTTCGTGGTCAACTCAGCACGGCCAATTTACTGTGAGACAACTCGCTGTGAGACAATTCAACAATTCAATTTAATTATTTAAAATCATCTTTACAAATGTTTTAATGTTTGTCACTCACATTTCATTTCATCCCTCCTTTGGTATCCTTTCTTTAATAGCAATAGCACTTATATCCTGCTTCACAGTGTTTTTACAGCCCTCTCTAAGTGGTTTACAAAGTCAGCCTCTTGCCCCCAACAATCTGGGTCCTCATTTTACCCACTTTGGAAAGAATGGAAGGCTGAGTCAACCTTGAGCCTGGTGGGATTTGAACTGCCAAACTGCAGGCAGCTGGCAGCGAGCAGAAGTAGCCTGCAGTACTGCATTCTAACCACTGCGCCACCATGGCTCAGATTGTATTCCACTACTACTTTGATATTAGCGTAACTTTTGTCACACAGCAAATTGTCCCATGATGAGTTGGCCGTGGCAAATTCTCCATGGCATCCCATAGCTACCATAGGAAAGCTTCTGCAAAACTTCGTGTTATGCACCATTTGTACCCATTCTTGAACCAAGAGGGTCTACTCATGACCCTTCATGGCTTGGTCACCTCCCAGATAGACTATTGCAACCTTACCCATTTATGTGTAACTACCCAAGCTTGCATAGTTTCACCTCCCATGAAAATTATATTTTTCAAACCCAGCGGTTCTCGGGGGGGGGGGAGTGGGGGCTCAGTTCTTCACAGCCCAATGTTCATGCTGTCTTCTTATTTTGTTTTCTTTGCCTGCCTAGGGCTGCTGGTTCGAGGTGCAGATTTCAATCAGCCAGCTGACAATTACACAGTTTGCCAAGGGGACAATGCAACGCTAAGGTGAGCTTCGGCCTGCGACATGGAAATCTCACGGGGTAGGGCGTGAGCCTGAGATTTTTCCCTGCTGGCATTTTGCAGAGAGGTTTTCCTGGTTGGTTAATTAAGTGGAGGCTTTGGAGTCTGTAAACTTTTGCGTGTGTGAACTGCACCCAGAATTTGAAATTTACTTGACTTTGTCAAGTCCTCAACCCTGATTCCCTGCACCATTGGAAGACTACATCACAGGCTGACATTAGATTAACAGAGTTGGAAGGGACCTTGTAGGTCATCTAGCCCAAGTCCAAGCCGAAGCAGAAGATCCTACCCCATTTTTGACAACTGGCAGTCCAATCTCTCCTTGAAAGTCTCAAGTGATGAAGCTCCCACAACTTTGGAAGGCAACTTCTGTTCCCTTGGTTGATTGTTCTCACTGTCAGAAAATTTCTCTTTATTTCCAAGTTGAATCTCTCCTTGATCAGCTTCTACCCATTATTCCTTGTCTGGCCTTCAGGTGCTTTGGAAAATAGCTTGACCCCTTCCTCTCTGTGGCAGCCCCTCAAATATTGGAAGACTGCTATCCTGTCTCCCCTGGTCCTTCTCTTCACTAGACTAGCCATGTCCAGTTCCTGCAACCGTTCTTCATATGTTTTAGCCTCCAGTCCCCTCGTCATCCTGGTTGCTCTTCTCTGCACTTTTTCTAGAGTCTTAACTCTAATCAGTGTTTATCAGTCTCATCCCAAATCAGTGGGATGATACTGACAATCCCAATTAAAGGGATTATTTCCAATTATTTGCAAACCGCTGAGGATGCGAAGAGGTTATTTTTAATCCTGGATGAACAAACTAAAAGCCCAGGACTATCATGCATCTTCTGTGACATGATACACACAGGGAGTCAGGGGTGGGATTCTACCAGTTCGCACCTATTCGCTAGAACCGGTTGTTAACATTCTAAGCAGTTCAGAGAACAGGTTGTTAGAAGAAATTACTGTCCTAATCCTGTAAGGAAGGCAGGAAGGAAACATTCTGGTGTTGCTTATAGAAACTGCCTCTCCGTTAACCCTTATTACATTCTTGGCAGGACTAGACTTCATGTCTCTGGAACTTCTCTGGAGCTTTTTTCCCCCTCCTTTGCTGGTACTTTGCTTGTGTGGAGTGAGTGACCATTCAAAGTTATAGTGGCACTGAAAAAAGTGACTTATGACCATTTTTCACACTTATGACTGTTGCAGCATTCCCACAGTCATGAGAGGCCAGGCGAGGAGATGTGTGCCTCAATGTGAGTGATATTGAGTTGGCCACGCCCAGCCAATAACATGACCACCAAGCCATGCCCACCACCTAAGCCACGCCCACAGAACCAGCTGTTAAAAAAATTTGAATCCTACCCCTGCAGGGAGTCCTCGACTTATGACCACAACTGAGCCCTGTTGCTAAGCAAGGCCGTTGTGAAGTGAAATTTGCCCCGTTTTACGACCGTTAAGTGAATCGCCGCACTTAAGCGAGTAGCACAGCTGCTAAGCAAATCTGACTTCCCCATGGAGTTTGCTTGTCAGAAGCTCGCACGCATGACCCCGTCCTGAGTTAGGAGTCCAAATTTGGATCACGTGACCCTGGAGTGCAGTGGTCGTAGGTGTGAAAAACGGCCATAAGTCATTTTTCCCCCCAGTGCCATTGTAACTTTGAACGGTCCTAAAATGAACTGTTGTAAGCTGAAGACTATCCGTGTGGGCCTTCTCTTTAACCCCATTATCTTGCTCTTTTCTGTGGGTTGGAGAGTCTGAATCAGCGGTGGTATTCAGCAGGTTCTGACCAGTTCTGGAGAACCAGTAGTGGAAATTTTGAGTAGTTTGGAGAACCGGCAAATCCCACCTCTGACTGGCCCCGCCCCCATCTCTTCTCTGCCTCCCATTGAGTCCCAGCTGATCGGCTGGGTCTCCTTTGGTTGCCCTGCACAGGAGAACGGAGCTGGAAAACAGGTTACTGGGGTGGGGTGGGAATGGGATTTTGCAGTATCCTTCCCCTGCCATGCCCATCAAGCAACATTATTCCCACCAAGCCCACAGAATTGTTAGTAAAATTTTTTGAATCCTACTACTGGTCTGAACCTAGCATATTTTTACGCCCCCAGTTTCTGTTTTCTGATTTAGCCTTTCTCTCCCACCTGAGTTTCAGCCCAGCATCTTTCCTCGGTTTAAATAAAAGATAGCTCTGTGGCCAAATGCACGATTACCTACCTATATTGCATTAATAGCAGCCAGCAATGACTTACAAAATGGCTAATAACTCTGTCAAGAGCAACATAAATTTACCTGGCCTTGATTTTAATACTCTCGCATTCTTTCGGAAGGAGACCATTTCCCGTGTCTGGGGAAATGCAATTCCCTCAGCCCGCATGAGCGTCACTATTATATGATGCTTAGCGGAGCTTTTAAGTTATCCATTTAGTCTGCAACCCCCTTTCTGTTTTCTGTTCTTCGTTGTTTCCCCCACCAACCCCCATTTGTACATGCTGCCAAGCCGTGATGTGGTTGGTTTATAGTTTGATATGGTGTGAGAAACTTCCGCTTAGAGCCATGTTTCCCAACATTGGAAACTTTTTAAGATGTGTGGGCTTCAAGTCCCAGAATTCCCCTGGCTGCCTGGGGAATTCTGGGAGTTGAAGTCCACACATCTTAAAGTTCCCAAGGTTGGGAAACACACTGTCTTATAGCTTGGCATTATCAGAGGAGGATCCACAAAATGGATCCTTACTTAGAATACGAGGGTCTCTGGGTGAATTCAATAGCAACTAGGAAGATGGTTAATTTCTCCAGAAATTGGATCTAAGGTGTATATAAGTACGGGCAATACAAGGCAGTGGAGTGTGGGCTCTGAATGAGGACTTGACATTAATGCATGGTCTGTCCAACTCTGTTGCTCCAAGGAAAGAAGGAAAAAAGATAGAAAAAAGTGACTTCTGAAATCCTTCCCATCAGTAATGTACAATAATAGTTAATTCTTCTCTCCAAAGTTACGTCATGATTCTCTCAATTTTTTGGTAATTTGTCCTATCTGTCATCCGTTCCATAAATCCTATGTTGATTAAAAAAAAAAAAGTATGCAAAATGTCCATCAGGGGTTTCCAGTCACCAATAAATGTAGATTTATTTTCTCTAATCAAAGAAGTTATTCATCTCAGCAAAATCTGTTAATTTCATCAATCAATATCTCCATGGTGTGTGGTGTCCTTTTCTCCCCTCTTTCTAATGGATCAGACCCGTCATTATTTCAACACAGAAAACCCCCGATTTCCCATTCTGTTCAGCCCTAAACAATAAATGCTTGGTTCTTTCTCCATTGGGTTTTCTTTCTTTCTTTCTTTCTTTCTTTCTTTCTTTCTTTCTTTCTTTTTTCTTTCTTTCTTTCTTTCTTTTTCTTTCTTTCCTTCCTTCCTTCCTTCCTTTCCTTCCTTCCTTCCTTCCATCCATCTCCTTTCCTTTCCTTCTTTCCCTCCCTCCCTCCCTCCCACCTCATGTGGCACAGCCCCTGTTGTCATCCACCATTCCTTGTGTGCTTCTTGAGATGAGCTGATGAACAATGATAAGGTGCCAATTCCTAGCAAAGCTCTTTGTTCTCTGGATTTGCATCAAAGTCATGGAGATACAAATAGCCAGACCAGTCGTCTCCTCCTCCTCCTCCTCCTCCTCCTCCTCCTCCTCCTCC